ATAGGCTGTGAGTCTTCCCAGATTTATCCCTGAGTCGTATTTCTGGACTTGTCATTGTCAGATGACTTTGCAAATTGATGTACTCGCAGCTCCTAAAGGACAGAGTTTTTGTGGATCCGTGTTTGGATTGTGTATATTTCAGTTTTAGAATTTAAGCTTACTTTCCAGTTCTGGAAACAGACTTCATGTCTGATCTTAGTGCTGAGAAACAACATTAACTTTGGCATGCATTCTCTTTCTTTGGCCTCGCCTACCTCTATTTGATAACACTGGATGTTAGTTGGTGCACAACCTAGTTCTTGTACTTCTTCGTAAAATAACTCATAAAAAAGAGTTTTTAGAAATTTTTAAATTTTCATACAAATAAAGAAGTATTAGAAAAAACAAAATTACTTAAATTGCATTATCCAATAATAAATTCTGTTGTTATTATTAATAAATATATACTCATATTTGAAATCATATAGTATATGGCTTTAAGCCCTGATTTTTTTGCATACTATGAGTGTTTTCTCATATAGTTAAAATTCTTTAAAAATAAGATTTTTTTATTTTATGGAAAAAAGGTACAACAAGAATTATAATAGTTAATACATTGCATGCTGTTATCTTTAAAGTAGTTGCTCAGAGTACAAGATATGGGCATAAACATTTCTCCAGCTGATGTTAGCGCAAGCCTTCCTTTTCAATGAATTAAGAGATACTAATAGCTAAACTGACTTGCATTTTTCCCCTTTTCCCTTCCATCCTTTACCCTTTAACCCATCCTAGTTCCCTTTTCTTTTAAACATGAGGTCTTTAATGAATATAGTATATCATAGTTCATTTGCTTGTTTAGGTTTGGAGCATTTATAATAATAATATCTAATATTTACTAAGTAAATGCATTCCGGTCAGTGTTCAGTGCTTTACCTATATTATTTAATGTAATTGTCAAAACAATTTTTAAAAATTTATTTTTAACTGGTGCATAGAAACACAAAGTGCGTATTAGTGTGGTAATATGCAATACTTTGATACATGTATATATTGTGTGATGTTTAAATCAAGTTTAACATTTATTTCCTCAAACATTGTTTATTTATGATGAAAACTTTTAAAAACCTTTCTTCAACTTTTTGAAATACATAGTATATGATTCTTATATATAGTTACCTATTTAAAAGCACATTGGAACTTCACCCTCCTCTCTAATTTAATTTATTAACTATTGATCAATCTTTCCTCACCCCTATCAGCTTTCTCTGCACATTCCCCAACTCTTGCAACCTCTGGTAATCATTATTCTACTCTTTACTTCAGTGAGATCCACTTTTATAGAATATGATTGAAATTATTTCATATTTGACTTTCTGTTCCTGGTTTAGATCACTTAACATAATGATCTCCAGTTCTATCTGTATGTTGGAAGTCACAGGATTTTATTATATTTATAGGTGTGTGGTAATCTAATGTGAGAACGTACCATATTTTCTTTATCCATTTGTCAGTTGATGAACACTTAGGTGCTGTTCGATTTCTTGGCTATTATAAATAGTTCTACAATGAATATGAAGTACATCTCTTCCACATGCAGATTTCACTTCCTTTGGATGTACATCTGGTAATGTAATGCCAGATCATACAGTAGTTCTATTTTTAATTTTTAATGGATCTGTGGACTATTGTCCACAATGGCTGTACTAACTTGCATTCCCACCAGCAGTGTGCAAGTATTCTCTTTGCTTTACTTCCTTGCCGGCTCTTACCATCTCTGGTCTTTTTTGACAATACTCATTCTTACTGGGGTGAGGTAATAACTCACAATGGTTTTGATTTGCATTTCCCTGATGATGGTGATGTTGGGCTTTTTTCATGTGCCTATTGACCATCTGTATGTTTTCTTTTGACAAATGTCTATTTAGATCTATTGCCCATTTTAAAATTTCTTTTGCTGTTGAATTTTTGGGATTTCTTTTTTTTAATTTTATTTTCAAAGTAGTAAAAATGCAACAGCACAAGACAGAACAAAGCCAATCGAGACAATGCAGTGAAATTGGCACAGGACTTCACAGCAGGATACTGGGATGGCAGTAATTGGTACTGTGGTATATCTCGTTAGCTTCACAATAGTTGTCTAGTCAATTAGATTTAGCAAAATCAAACCAAATACACAACATTTTAAAACCAATTGATACTATTGAATAGAGCAAAAGAAACATAACAAAACAAAACAGTGAAAACAACCTTTGTCTCCCATATTTGCTATACTGTATATGGTCATCCTCCCAAGAGATGCTGAGACATCTATCCCCAGTAGCTACAGGGCGAGTGGCGGGAGGGGGAGGGCTGTTTGATTTTCAGCCTGCGTGCAGGTAGGCTCACAGGAGCCAGTGGTTCTCCTCCTGGCCTTCTCTGGGGACGCTTAGCAAGAGGGTGGGCGAAAAAGCTTGAATTTTGTGGATTTCTTATGTGTTCCTGATTTCAATACTCATGTTATGCATGCATTGCAAATATTTTATCCCACTTATAGGCTATTTATATTCTATGATTGTCCCTTTTGCTGTCATAACACTTTTGAGATCCCCATTTTTAAAAATTATTTTTAAGATCCCCATTTTATAGGTGAGAAAGCTGAGGCATAAACAATTAAAAACCAAACTCACAGCTTGTAATTGGAAGCTGGTTAGGCTTTCACTGAAACTCAGGTGGTCTGACTCCGGAATGTGTAATGCTAAACATTACTCTGTCTGACTCTTCATATGGTATCTTTAAATGGGGGTGTTCTTTATCTATATTTTTGATAGCTATTACTGGGAAGATTTTTGGTGATGGAATAATTAGAAGTCAAGGGCTATGAGATTTTCACACTCTTTATTTATTTATTTATTTATTTATTTATTTATTTATTTTTTAATCAGTGCCAGGGATTGAACTCACAACTACCTGCTTACAAGGCAGGCGCTTATGCCACTGAGCTAAATCCCCAGCCCTGACTTTCACACTCTTGAAACATGTTATTCAAGTCTTTTTTTTTTTTTTTTGAGGAGGAGGAGGTACCAGGAATCGAACTCAGGACCTTGTGCTTGCCAGGCAGGTACTGCACCATGAAGCTATATCCCTGGCCCCAAACATGCTATATAGTTGCCATACAGAAAGTTTGTTATCAGTCCACATTTACACCAATAGTGGGAAAAACCTGCTTGCTCACTCATTATCACCAGTAACATTTAATTTTCTAATAACTTTGAATCTCATTAAATGGTCAAGATCTCCCTTAAATGGTTAAGATAGTCCATAGATCTATATTATATTTCATAAAAATAACTTGTATATGCCTCAGATAAAACTATATCCTTGTTTTATTAATCCATATACAAATGAACTCCCTTATGTCATCTCTATAGGTGTGAAATTGCTATCAGGTGAGATAGCACATGATATAAGACTATATAAGACTATTTGTGTCACAGTTAGGGGGTCATTACATCTGTCAAGGACATCTATCAAAATGTACCCTTATTTTGACAACTTCTGTCACGAGTGATATTTATGGTATTTCTTCAAGCTTTTAGGCAGTTGGAAGTCATTTTACATTAATCTTACAGTTCTCCTAGGTTTGAAAATGCATGGAAAAAGTACAACCAGTTCACATGTATTTTTACTTTGTATTAGTTGCGTAGAATATACATAAAAGGCTGTACTACATCTGTATATTTAGATAATAGTAACATTTGGAAAACTTGTGTTTCAGTCTCTGGAAAATAATTTTCATTCGAATCCAACGCCACCAAAACTATTGGGTAGAAACTATCAACTTTTATTTATTTTCTTTTTAGAAAAACTGAAGAAAATTCTATGGCAATATCACAGAAGAGGATTTTAGCACTTGCTATAATAATTTGAACTTAATTTAGAAATGTAAATATTGCTTGTGATGTATTGAAAATTACTCATGTTTCACTGTTTCTTTGGATTAGTAGTCTGCTATCATTACTTTCTGAAAGAATCTTCTTTGGACCCTGTGTTTCCCTGTACTTCATTAAAGTTCTGGGTTTTACAGTTGTAGGTACAGTTAAGGCTTTAGAAATTGATAACTTGGAGCACATAACAAACACACAATTACTGTGTAGTATCTGGAAGCGTTCATTGCTTGTGACTCCTGAGTGTTTAGTTTTAAGTGTGACTCTTGGCAGAAGCCTTGTCTTGACACAATGCCATTGTTAATAACCAATGAAATGACCGAAACTGTGCTGAGCGGAAAAAAAAAGTAAGCTGAAGGATTTATAGCAGACCACACTGCAAAGCAAACGTTGCAATTATCTGCAGCTGAAAACAAGTAGCTTTTAATGTGTCCATTTGGCCAAAAGGAGAGAGGAGAATTATAGACCATGGCTCTTTCCCACTCTCATACCCTTGTCTTCTTCTTTATATAGTTTATCATCCATAATTTCAGGATGTATTTTGCTTCTTTAAGCTGTTTTATCTGTAGGCTTATGAGGTCACTCATGTGTGAATTCCTTTGTTAGTCATCTCACCTTTTGCCTTGATGATAGAAAATTGATCAGGCCTAAAGTACAAGTTCAATAGACAGCCCCCTTGGTCCTTTGTCTAGGAGAATAGCTACCATTGAAGGCCATGAGCAGGTTGCTATTAATATGACAGCCTGCTCTATCTCCCACTGTAATTTATAATGAAATACCTAATCTCCATTATTTTGATCCAAGCAGGCGATCCCATGAAAAAGTCTTTTCATCCAGTTCCCAATGGCTGTTACATGAGAAATGGCAAACCAATAATTTTTGTCAAGTTTTTTAAGCCAACAGAAATGCTTTTCCACTGCTACAGTTTCAAAAGGCACAGATAAAGCTCATTCACTGAGATGAATGAAAAAGCCATCTGGGGTTTTTCTTTTTGACTTCCTTTCCTTTTCTCCATCCTTGTAATCAAATTTGAGCAAAATCAAATGGGGCTTTCTATGAAAGTACCTTTTGTTGATCTGAACGAGCTGGTAATTTACAAAATACCCTTCCTTTGTGAGGAAGGCTAAAGAAAAAAAGAATCAGTAGCTTTTAAAGCTGGGCCTTAGTGGGACTCTAAATGCAATGAAAGCAGTCTGTGTTGAGAGATTGAAATGCATTTCAAAGCCAGGCCTGACTCGGGGTACAAGGAAGAACAGACCTATGTGCATTTTGTAGGAAGAAAAATGTGAATGGAAAAGGGAAAAAGGGAAAGAAACAGGGGGAAGATCTGGATAAGACATTAAAGTGACCATAATTTTGGAGATGCATTCATCTTATTCAAAATGTGCATGTAACTAGGGACGCAGAAGTCGGATATTTGCTCAACCAGGACACTCAACAATTTGAGCCTTTAAAGTTTGGAGCTGCATGGGTTTGTGGAAGAAGTCAGCTCACGATGTGTGTGATGTTTTTCTCCAACTTTTTCTTTTTCTCCTTTGCTTTGGGATCCTGTGGGAAGTACCTCAAGAAAAGCTGAAGATGCTAATTTTCAGACAGCTAATACTTGCTATTTTCTCTCTTTTTGCCTGCTAGATTTCCTCATGGTAGTGATTCTTCTGGACTCTCCTGTGTTCAAAAGGATGGCATAGACACCGTAAACATAGTAAGTAATGTGTGATCTTTTCTCCAATCATTGTTAATAGTTAATTGTATTAAGGCTGAAATTTGGTTCTTGGAGGAGTTTGGGATCATGCTACATGCCTTGAAGGAATATAGGTTTTGTGCAACATTTGCATATTTTGATGTGAATTATTTTTTATTTGATTTAGTTGTTCATTATAGTATTACTATTCAGGATCATGGGTTTGTTATCATTGCTGTTTTGTTCTATATATTTTGTGATAGATAAGTATTGTGTGGCATATAAATATATGCATTTTCAGCACAACAGTTTAAGAAACTGTGCAAACATTTCAAGGAACTCTCTGCAGATGCTAAGTTTTATTTTATGCACCATGCAATTTTCCTGGTATATTTATAATTTTGATTCATAGTAATCATGCTTTTTAAGTACCTTTCTATTTATGCTTGAAATACAATTTTCTTATAAATTATGTGAAATCTTTTATTCCAAATAAATATATGTAAAATCAAACTCTTTTAAGATGGTTTATGCACAATTTCCTATAATTTAATTTAGCATTTTAATTAATTGTAATTAAAAAAACAAAACTGCTTTTAGAGCTAATTTTTACCTTTAGAGAAGTGACAAGTTCATTTTTAACTTCCTAAAAGAAAATAGAGACATGTTATCTGAAGACCTGATAGTTTGGATTAGAGTACATGCCACAAGTATTTCGTTAAACATAGATGCACTGCTGACATTTCTAAGGAACTGCAGAGCATATTATAAATAAATATGTAAATGTCTTGGTCAGAATCGAGTAGTAAGAGAAGAATCAGTGCCGTGTCTCCGTGAAGGCTTCAGCATTCTATGCATTTGGTCACATTACTAAAGCAGGCAAGGCCTGAGAATTTCACATAGGCAGCCATAAGACCCTTGTTTATGGAGGCAAGCATAAAACAAGGTTAAATGAAGGCCAGTCAGTCTAGCGAGCTTGTCAATCTCTTAAGGAAACTGTCAGAATTTTTGAGAGCCGATGAAATGAAGAATGGGATCCAGGTAATTTCAGATTGCTCTTGTGAAGGCCCAACTCTTTACCTTGTAAAGGGAATTCAACTCTAAATTCCTAGAAGTTTATGTTTCAGAAGAAGCCTGTTTTCCATGCATTTGCAGCTGAAGTCTCTTTTCCAACTGCCTGTAACGTTTATCTTTGCCTGTGGTTTTGAGCTGTTTGCTGCCTCCTAATGCCTGAGTTTAAAATAGCATGTCTGGCAAGCTGCCAAAGGGGTGGTTGCAGGGGTGGTGTCAGCTTGTATTGGGATTGGAGTTTCAAGGTTGTGGTTAACTCTAATTCACGTAGTTGCTACAACGCAGATATTAAAATCTGAGTGGTAATAAGACTGGAAGAAGAGTGAAATTAATCTGTGCGCCTCTCAGGTTGTATGTGTGGTTCTTCCTGCAAAGACAAGCTGTGTTGTGTTGTCTTGTCTAGATGCACATGGTGTCCTAGATAATCCACACCACACCATCACAGCTTGCCTACAGTTGTAGACTGATGAAGAGGTACAATAGAAAATGGGTTTTGTTAGAGTAGTACTCTCATTATACTCATTTGGTCAATTTTTTCCTAATGGTTTCACTCCCTGTGATGTCAGTTAAGATTGTCAGTAATGCTTTAAATAGGTGAAAATTTATTATTCAGGAATGCCATTGTTATTTCTAATCCAAATTAGTACCTGGTCCATAATGCTTTGCCTTCTGCTTACTAGCTCCACATCTAATCAATCTTGGGATCACGTTAACCTTCAAGTACATCTGATAAGAGCTACAGGCTCTTTATCTGGTGAATCCTAAAGGATCTCTGTGAAAGTATCTTTGCTTTTAATGGTATAATTTTAATAAATAGGTAATCAGCTTTGCAAATCAACTAAGGACTACTGTCTCAGTTTATTAAGCACTAAGTATTCTAAAGCTAATGTTAGTAGAGCAATGGATTTTTCCTCTTTCCCTCAGTCTAGGTTTAAATATAATTCCTGAAAGCATTGGCTGCTGGGAAACTGGAGAGCTAGTTAATTCTCACTAGCCACTGGGATTACAGGGATTTTCTGAAGTTTTTTTATTGTAGGCCTTCTATTCCTGGTTATAACAGCAGATATACTATACACTCTACTTTTTTGCAAAGTCAAAATAACAAACAACTTCTCATTGAAAGTTCCAGAAATTTAGATCCTTGTGATATCTTCAAAGATTATCAGAAGAAAGAAAAAGGGTAACCTATTTGCAAAGACTCTGAAGCATCTAAAATAGACTTTAAAGTTTTGTTTCCTTTCTTGTAAGATTAAAACTTTTTCTTGTCAGAAACTAGATGCTGCTTTTCCATGACAGCAACACTATTGAGGTACTGCTGTTTTCATGAACTAGCAATAGGACAAAAAGCAGAGTCCTTCCTGTTCCCTGAAAGTTGTCCTTTGTTATCTCAGGAAAGATCTAGTAAAGGCTGCTGTGCTTTGATGTACTGATGTAGGTTGCTTGGCTAATTAGTACACATTTTTTCAATATTTTGGAGGCAGAAGAGTGGTTGGCTTTGCTTGAACCTGAGATTATATCGTGGATGCATCGGGGCTGATCACTGGCATTTTGAGCCTCACTTTCCTTGGGGGTCAAATGGGATGCTATCTTGCCTTTCTCTTTTGTGCTTTTCATAGGTGGGCAGACATTTTTGGATGCACTTTTTGACACAAACATGATGGTTGGTTTTAACCAACTCAGCGATCACATGACAAGGAAGAGAAGGCCAAGTTTTCATGGACACTGATTTCATTATTAATTATGTTAAAAATAACATTATTTAGTAGCAAAACCTTATATGAATGTTTTGATGCAGGTATAACACAATGTAGTAGGTAAAAATAATCAAATAATTAAGAACAAAGAAAATATAAATTGGTTTATGGCTCAGGAATAAAAAAGAACCACACATACATGAAAGTCATATATTTAAAAAAAATTTATAGTCACAGACTTGGTTCAGAGTTTTCAGCCACCAAAACAAAAATAGGAAAAAAATCATAAAAGACAGCTTGCATGCTATGGACATTTTACTTGTTATCTCCAATCCTCCCACACCGCTGAATCCAGCTGTTATTATCCACCTTTTGCAGTGGAGAAAAAGCAGGTTTAGAGGTCAGTTACTGACCTCTGGTTACCGAGGCTACAGGAGCCTTACTGGATTAAACCCAGGTCTCTCTAGCTCTTGCAGCCTGTTCTTCTTTGGGTAACAGAGATGTCAGCTGTCCCTGCAGCTCCTAGCATGTGCATGTCCCTTTCCTGGTTCTTACCCAACACCAATCCAGAATCACAGACCTGAGCTCTTTTTTTTTTTTTGAAAATTTTAAAAAGAATGTACTTTTATAGAAGAATGAAAAGGGGCAATGGAGACTTTACTGAAGGGACATGACAGGGAGAGTTTACTTTGTGTATCCCACACTAAAGCACTTGAACATCTCTGTGGAACATCCTGTTCTGAAAGTGCCTTTTTAGCTTAGCACTGGAGGTCTTTTTCTGTGACCCTTTCTTCATGTGCTGCCCCACTCCCTTAGGGGCCTTCTTCTTCCTTAGTTCCCTTTTCTCTCCTCATCATTAAATTACTCATACTTCTATTATCCAAAAGCAATATGGTTATTCCCAATCCCATAATACTAAATTTACAAATCTAAACAGCACCATGCTTAGCACATCCCGCAAAACCTTACTTGTAATGGCTCTTATCCTACTTATTAGTAGTGAGGATGATGTAGCAATTGAAATAATCTCATTATGTATTTCCCTCTAGGGAAAAACCATGCCAAGAGTGTTTTCAGGCACTAGGTTTTGGAAGAATATTCTTGTTGAGACTTTAAGGAGGTGTCAAGGATAGAATCTCCGTGACTTTTGTGTTTACAGCTACTCTGGAAGCTGAGTCTGATACTATAGCCAAAAGCAGAACAAAACTTGAGGCTTTTATAGGTAAATGGAGGCAATTTGAGACTATCTTCACAAGTGAAATAAATCAGACTCACATTCATAAATATCATATTGCCTTTCTAGTGTAAAAATAATAATAATAAAAATTTGAAAGAGTAATGTTACCAAAATGTATAGTAAATATTGTAATAATGAAAGGGAAAGAAAGTGCTCAAAAAGAAAAAGAACAACTTGTAGGTGTACACTTTTAACTGTTGTGTGCTTAAGTGTGCAACATAGGTAACCATACTAAGTTTTTGCTAGTTCATCAAACAGAATAGTTTGTGCTGTCATTGTTTGACTGTTTATTTTTTATGTTGTGGTTTTGTAACTTGAATAACTACTTCTAAGATAACAATGTGTAACATATCAACTTGTGATGCTTAAATGTTATTGTTTTGAAATTCTGTATCATTTTTACCCTTTTTCCCGTTTTGCTTTTTTAAAAAAAATAAATTTAAAAAAACTTAGAAAATATTAATTGATGGGCAAAAATCAAGTATTACAGGAAGCCTTTAAACAGAAAGTTTAGGGTAGTGGAAAAGTTTAGACAGAGAAAAGAAATAAAGAAAGAACAACTTACCTTGTGATATAAGGCAAGAAATGAATTTAAGTATCTTTATTCAGTGTGTCTCATAAATTTCATTGTATACTGAGATAGGAAACTATATTTCAAATATGCATATTAAATGAGCAAGATCAGGTGGATTTAAATGATTGAGTGCTAATGCCTGAAAGAGAAAAGGGGGCAGGAGAACCTGAAAATCAGAAACTAAATCTTCAAGTTTAATATCACAGAAATTTAGACTTGTGATAATGCACATTAAATCACGTGACGAGGTAATAGGATTTCATCATACCAGCTTCTCTCTACTTTTTAAAGAAAATATGAAGAAGAAATGTATGAGTAAAGTACAATGGCTCAATGCATAAAAATTGTTTGAAGTTTGGGGCATGGAGTGAAAATTGAGCAACATTTAGAAAATCTTTTCAAACCCCAGGTTTAGAAAGCTTTCAGAATCATTTGTCTGCATAGT